GCAAGGGCTACGGGTCTAATTGTTAAATATTAATTACGAGGCACACACAGCGATATATTAACGCTTTCAACTGATATTTTTGCCAAAATTTGATCATAAGACATAAGCAAGCTTTACTCGATCAATACACTTTTATAGCTGATCACTAAAATAATAAATTAAAATTGGTCCACTTCTTGAGAAAGACACACTTTTGCCTTTTTTTTTTTCGTTAAACACTTTAGTCTCATGTTTAAAAGCGGTCAGGTGCTTTCGATCTCCTACCCGTGGTAATATAAATTTTGTCTTTATTTTGGCTTTCTAAATTGTTAAATTTCTTGAAACGAAAAAGAACGATCATGAATGTTGTATTTTAATTTAAATGACCACGAAATAAGGGTTAACGTTTTACATTTAAATGTTTTGCATTTCCCAGTGTCAAAGGCTTGTTTCCTTGAAAAGAATATCAGTAGAGGTGATCCATTTTAAAGATAAGCTTATAAAGTCTGTGTTTCACTGAGGAATGAGGAAATTCTAGCTCAGCGATGGCCGTGAAAATACCTCGTCACATTTGTAAATACTTGACAGACAAACTTCGACATATTAAAAGTATTCAGCGTTTTTTTTTTTTTATATATGTATAATATTACGGCGAAAGAATTTAAAATTTGACAGATCACTTGCACCAGGAATGCGACGAAATCCTTGAGATAAATTTAAAATGTTTCGAATAAAACGACTTAGATTAAGTAAAAAAAGCTTAACCTACCATTTCCTTGTACTTGTTGTGTATCTCCTTGTAGGCTTCATGGTTTTCACCATCGGAATCGAACACTGGTGAATTGACAAACATAGAGTAAGCTTAATTCAACAAGAACCGATCGAATTTTTTATGTTAAGCTTACCATGCAATCGAACGCAACTTCACTGAACGCCTCGGGGCATTATAAAAAATTCTAAAAATATTAGAAAAATAGTTCATACCGAGAGAATTTTGGTCTATGAAAGTGCGCACAGGAGAATTCCATATTGGTGAAGTTAAAAAGCCGACAACGGCATCAAAAATAAACTCTCTTTCCACAGCAGACATTTTCTCACTGATGACCTCGTTTGCACTTCCTGTACCTTGGAGACGGCCTCGTTGTGGCGAGACAGTTAGCTACAATCTGGGGAGGAGAGGAATCAATGTACACAAAAAGGAAACAAATGAAATCGCAGATAGTTGTAAATGATAAAACAAATTTACATCACGCAAGACTTTTAAGACACATTTAAAACAAAAATGATTGCAATGAAGTCTTGCTAACCAGGACTATGATTTGGAAAGTGTTTTATTAGGTTCCAATCTTAGCCTCTCCTACTTGGAAAATTTTGTCAACTAATGGTTAGTTACCATTCTCCTACCTAGTTACATCAGTTGACATGACCATGCAGGCATTGGTTAATCTGCAGAGTTTTTACCGATTCTTAACTGCAAAATGCTGAAAAGAAGATCTCAGTCAACGGATATAACACCTCTTGTAAACAGTGCAGTTGAGAAACTACAGGAGCTAGGTACTGCTTATAAAATGGCTTGTTATTTCGTTTGTTTTGTTGTTAATGATTTTGACTACAATATCAGCAAAATTTTGTTGTTTTTAGGACAACATGTTAAGGCTAGCAGACATGGCGTTGAACCAGCAGATTCTTCCGGAGTGGACGTCGTTATTAAAGCGCTCAAAGATCTGGTAATATATATTGGATGTTGTGTTGTAGGATTGATGAAACAGATAAATTGTAAGTTACAAATTATTCGATGTGATTGTGACACTTTTCTTTGCCCATTGATGTCAAATATAAAACAACATTACATGGTTGACTACAAACCTGCTTCTTTCTGGAAGGAAAGACTGCCACTGCCAGATGGCTATATGGGTTTTGCTCCTAAAATAAGTCGACAAAAGCTAAATAAAGAGGCAATTTTAATTTAAAAACTGCCTTTCATACTCACATGCTTGCACAGAGGGCATTTGGTTTTCAAAAGCAGGCAAAACTTTCAAACTTAGCTTCTTTATAGGAAAAAAAATTGCTGAAGATTGTCAAAGCAGGCAGCCAGTCAATTTGAATTTGCCTGGTGCATAGCCCTAATAATAGACTCTGAGCAGTCTCTCTTTTGCTCGAAAATCTGTGGGACTGTTCGCGGTCTACCCTATTAACGAAAACCCCTGCTATATGCTAGAAAGCTAACATTGGAGAAGTACATGTACTCTGTAATAATATACAGAGTGTATCATTCAGTGAATTATTAAAAATGCAGACTTAATTATGAATGTGCTGAGAATTGTTAAAATCCTAAGAGTAATAATCAAAGAAAATGTAAGTTGCATGTATCGTTGATACAGGTAATTTCATGTGTGTGATTTAGTCCACAAACTTTTGTGGTCTTATTAATGAACTTGAACATATTCTCAGTATAGGACTGGAACTAGCTTGTAATGGAGGCTCATGTGGGGAATATCATTAAAAGGAGATGAATATCATTTAGATTTGAAATGAGGTCCCCAAATTAGTGTCAAATGCAAGCTAGTTCCTGTCCAATATATACCGACAAGTATATGAAAATGGTCTTTGGTTAGTACCAGTTTGAACAGTTTTGAAATGTAAATTTATACATAATATATCAGTGAAATTAAGGTTGGAGAGTAACCCTGCATATTTTGACTAGCATCCCACCAAGGGGAGGTTTGAAATATTCCTAGTTTTTTTTTTTTTTTAAATATGTTTTATTAATAACCTATGACATAACAATACATTACAGTACATAACTTACTTACAAGTAATTATAGGAGTACAAAAAACAAAAGTGAGAACTTANAAACAAATGTGTCCCCGTGGTTCAATCTATTTTCGTTTTTCAGGTCGCTTGGCAAGTTTACCTGTACTTCTGATTCGTTCTTGTTAATCTGCAGCTCTTTTGTTGTTAGAACAAGGCATTGTTTGTGTTGTCTACCTATTGTTTCGATTGGGCAGCTGTAAAGAACCTTGAAGTTAAACTGACACTGTCTGACAAACATGAAGAGAAGAGGAATTGTGATCTAGTTTACAACAAACTTCGGTTTTCTTTGTGGAATATTTTGAAATGCAATTCGCCAAGACTAATCCATGAGCGGCCTGATCCTTTTTAACAGTCCGTATTGCAAAATTTGGACACCTCAGGGAACCAATCAAAAACCTCTTTTTCATCGTGGACCAGTTTGACGTCATTAACCAAATAGAAGATGATGTTCCATGATTTCTAAGAAACTAATCCACGCTTGAGGGCTAGAAGAACTGCTAGTGGACGCAACTGCAGAACGCGATTACGTTCGGCAGTTTCTCTAGACCTCAAAAGTGCGTGATTTACATCTGAACAGCGGTAATTGCACTGGCAACAAAACATCTTGGACGTACATGCTCGATAATTTTCAGCCAAGCATCTATTTAACAATTTTTTTTTTTTAATATGTTTTATAAATAACCTATGACATAACAATACATTACAGTACATAACTTACTTACAAGTAATTATAGGAGTACAAAAAACAAAAGTGAGAACTTACGAAAAAAAAAAAAAAAGAGATAAAAGTACAAGAAGAAATAAGTACGAGAAAGGAAATAAGACGGAGAACAGGTTCCTTTTTCTAAACTAATAGAGTTAATATCTACAATGGCCAGTAATGTGGCTCCTTTTTTTTTTGGTTTTGTTGTTAGATCCATTTTGATATTCTATTTATTGTTAAGCGTTACAACTTTATCTGTTTCTTAGATTTGTGCTTCTCTATTTGAAGTTTACTTGCAAGGATGGCCATGAANACTGAAGCAATATTTTAGGGAACACGGCCTCCACGTAGATGTCAAGTTACGGAGCCGCGAAGATACGTCCGTCGGCCATCATGAAATCTTCAACGTATTTGAAATATTCCTAGTTACTACTAAGGCAGGAGATAAACACTGTCAGTACTGGCTTGATGGACCAGTAGGTTTTGATACCAATTTTACTTACCTACACACCAATCCTGTGATTGTTGGTGCTTTTTGTTTTGTATTTAGGAAGCAGAAAGATTGAAAATCCACGAGTTACTAGAGACTGAAACCATCACAGCCAGTGTGTTACGTTACAAATTGCAATACTTCCCAAGTGATATTAAGTCTGAAATACAAGGTATGATTCAGTTTGTTGCTTTTCAGTAAGTTTTGTTTACTTGTTAATTCTCATCACTAACTATTTGCTAAGTGTCTAGAGCACTCCAAAGCTAAACTTCATTGTTTACTTTCTCACAATTATCTGAACTGCAGATTTGTCAGTAGTCTTCATATTAGCTGACAGTTAGTTTTGGTCTCATGTTCCACTTTTTCTATTCTCTTTGCAGCTGCTGTGTATTCTGCAAGACAATCAAATGAAGCAGAAATCAAGAGACTCAAGGTAAGTTTCAAGTATTAATAAAAATGTTTCAACATCCAGCTGGCCATGGCTTTTCTAGCTTTTGCACCTGAAAAATTAACATTAAATCATTGTTTTCTAGTAACATTTCAGCTAGTGGTAAGCTCCGATGGTTGAAATTAGCCAGTAGCCAGATTTTAACTAGTACATGTACTGTATCCCAGAGTGTGATGTTTTCGAATGCTGGAAATGAAAATCATTCTGCAGAGCTTTGGTCACTCATAGACTACAGTGAACATGTTTTTTTTTAATTTATTGATTGGCAAGTGGTGTTTTTGTTCAATCCTGCATGTATATTGTACTTTTATATTTTTTTTTAGACCCAACTCAATACCATCATCAAGAACATCAAGTCATTACAGGACAGACATCAAGATCTTGCAAAAGAAAATGCCAAACTGGAGTAAGTTGTGTATGTTTCACTGCTACAGTTGAACCTCCTAACCCTAACCCTAACCCTTAAGCGACCCCTCATTAAGCGGCCAGTTATCAAAGTCATGAAATTATTGTCAATAAAATATTGCAAATAAAACCCCTATTAACTGGCCACCTCTATTAAGCGGCTGTGGCCACCTTTTAGTCTTCCCGATGAGGGTTTTCTTTTTTCCTTACCCCTATTAAGCAGCCATTTAGCTTTGTTTTGGAAAAGGAAGTGAACATCCTGACAATGAATCTCACTATCCTGGTTCCAGTTTCTGAAATTCCTGTAAGTCAGTAGATGCCTTATGAAGCCAATTCCTAATCTACATGTTCTTGAAAGAGGTTCTCTTTGTTTATTTTACATTTTTAGGCCAGAGAGGAATGACATGCAAGCTGGGCATGATGAGATCATTGCACTTCTTAATCAGAAGATGGCTGACAAAGCCAGGTAAATACCAGTAACTTAAAATAAAAATAAATTTCTGAATTCATACCTGGAGGGTACACATGGCACTTTCTAGAGCAGTTTACAGGACACAATTATTCTTATCTTGAAGCATGGCCAGGTAGAATGTATTTATTAATTTTTATGTAGACCTATTTTACCTGCAGTAGTCATGTTCAATCAGTTTGCAATAGTAATCATTTTTCTTTTATTTTAATTAATAATTGTTAATAATTCTTTATCTCTATAGCAAACAAATTACTCTTAATGAGACTCGTGATAAACTGCGAGAGACATATAAAAAGGTAAGAAAGACAATTGTTATTGTTATATGCAGTAGTTTACATTATTAGTGACACACTAGTTTAGTGAAAACATAAAATTTGGAGGCACAGTAGTTCAACAGTTAGTGTGCTGGACTCTACAATGAGTGGTGATGGTTTAAGCCCTAGCTGGGGTCATTTTTTAGTGTTCTTGGGCAAGACACTTTACTCTCTCAGTGCCAACAGGTTGTTGCCCAGGCAACCTGGCGGAATGCTGAAGAGTAACCTGTGATGGACCAGCATCCCTGCCATGGGACGGGACTGGTGGGGGAGCAAAACTCTTACCAGCCATTTCATGGTAGAGAAACCAGAGTGAAATGCTGAGAGCAGCAAGTATATCTGTACAAACCCGGAAACTGAATTATAAACACAAGGGCTGTAAATTTTGAATCTTGTATGTGCACTTAGCAGATGTCAGAGAGTGTTACTCTACTCTCTATTCTATTAAGTACTCTATTCAAATACTTGTTCCTGTGTGCTTTTGCTTTGGTTGCTTGTATTCCTTATCTAAGAGTGTGTCCTATGCAGTATGCATAGTTTTGGCTGAAAAACAAAGGTGCAGTGTAGCATTCTATTCAAGGGCATTTTTAGTGCTGCCCCAAGTGGAATGAGTGCTGGCCTTATGTGGTTGTCTCCATTGATAAACACTATACATGAAAATGGTGCTTTTTTGAGTTACTAAATTGTTAGATTTCATCATTTCCAATTATTATTTTTTCCATTAACAAAGATAATTGAACTGGAAGACTCCATTGTTCAACTAAAAGAGGACTTAGTTCATGAACGAGAGGAAGCAAGGCAGGAGAAAGAGAAACTGAAACAGTCTGTGGTAATCAGTCAACAGTGCATGTTTATTCTGTTTAAATTAGTCTGGTTGTATATGTTTTAAAATAAATTATATTTTTAACACAGCATAAGTCAAATAATGTTATTTTTCATCATCGTGGAAACTTGGTAACTTTGAAGAAACTTGGATAGTAGACATGAGACCTGATCTCTCAAACTTGAGACTGTCATTCTTACAATACCAAAATCACCATCCTCGTGTTCATAAATTTAATTGAGGCTTCAAGACATGCTTACATCAATGGTGATAACTGACTTATTCCAGATGCCAACTGCACTCACCCTTTAAACCGCTTTTTAGTGTTCCTTGTTGCTAGGGTAAGCTACACTATGTATATTACATAGGCTAGTACAATCACGTAAAATTTGTACACTGGAATTGAACACTGTCAGCAATATTAATAGTTTCTTTTTTTTTTTCTTTTTTCCCTGTAGGCTGACACTCAGAAGAAGGCAGAGGAGCAACGGCTGACAAACATTGAAAAGAGAAAGTCAGTTGTACACTGTTCTTTATACATGTATTTTGAATTTTTCAGCCTTGACATACATGTATCATAGAAATGAAAGACACTGTAACAACTTGCATAATCCTTTGGTGTATCTAGCCTTAAGCAATTCCACATTATTAAATAATGGTAATAAATTAATAAAGACAAGTATGTAAGCATTGTTTACTACTTTTGGTTGTTTTACCTTCAGGGAAATTGACAAATTGCAAGAAGAATTGGTGGACAGTGAATCAATTTTAGACTCCAAGAGAAAGGTGACTATTAATATTCTTTATTTGCTCCTAAAAGAAATTAGCTAACAAAGAGCAATTTCGTGGTGGCTGCAGACTCAATACAGTGTATTGGTGTTCCCACACAATTAGTAACCTTCCATAAGAGAAGAAACCATTATTTAAAGGATAGAAATTGCATTGGGGGGGAAAACCAATATTTCTGCTGTGGTGTCATATACAAATGCTTCTAATAAATTGTATTATTAAAATCAAGTTAGTTCATAGTTCTTAGGAATAGTCCAGTTTTGAGTTCACCATGACCACTGAATAAAAGCACTGAGAACGCATTTGCAGAGGGTTAGCCTCAACCTAAATAAAATATTCACGGTGGGAAGGCGGGAAGGTGACACAAATTTGAAAATTAAGCAATACACAGAGCTGTAAACAGGTCATCTTCTTCCTGGAATTTGTGAATATTTTACTTTAGATTGAGGCTAACCCTGTGCAAATGCGTTCACAGTGCTTTTAATCAGTGGTCATGGCAAATTCGAAACTGGGCTATTAGCAACCCCAACAGACATCTTTTCCTGTAAGTTCCCAAATATGTTTGACATCTGATTTATTACATCTTTATATGTTGTTTAAATGGAGCACCAAAGTCTTACAGGCAACATAAGTTAAATGTACATACTGTGCATGTATACATCAAAAAAGGACAGTCCATTTTCATCAATCGATATAATATATGTGAATTTTCAAGCTACAATGGCTTCTTCCATTGCAGAGAATTACATTTTTAAAATTCATGCAGTCTGAATTTTTTTCAAAAAGCTTCTCTGCCTTGAGCACTAGCTTGAATAACGACATCAATATCAAGGTTTTTTTTTAGTAGATCATTCGGAAGTTTGAAACGTCTCGCAATCGACTGGAAGCTCAAGAGGTGCAGTTGAACAGGCAACTTCAAAAGGAAATCAAAGACAACTCCGTTCTCACGCAGGAAGGGTGAGTAAGATGGTCAGCCCTTGCAATCACATCAATCACTGAACAAAATCAGATTTTTTGTTCACTTTTTGTGTGCTGTTATGTGTGCAAATCAATTTGATGACATATGGTGACTTTTTTTGAATTCATTATGGTGATATGTCAATGTTTTGTCCAGGATGAAAATTGTTAAGGAGCACAATGACATGGCTGAAAGCTTGGAGCAGAAAAAGAGATCACTAATAGCGCAACTGGAAATGGTATGAACTCCATGTATGAATTAAAAATTAATATCAAATATCAAAAATAAAAATATCAAAGTACAAGTCATTACCTCCTTTCCTCAGCTCCTTTAAGGAAAAGAAGATATATTACACAATACCGGTAGTTTTTTACTATGTTTATACGTATTATCTTATTTACGTTCTTTGTAATGCATCACAAATGAGCATGTATTAAACAGAGAAAGATATGATTTGAAAAATGACCACACAAAAACAATACAAGGCTCTCGACATGGGGTGTACATATGNAGCTGGAAGATATGAATTTTATGTTCTCGTGGCAAGAACAATATTAGGTATTGTTCTTGCCACTCGAACTTAAAATTCATATCTTCTCGCCACCGTGTAATATCCTCTATGTATTTACTCCTGCTCCTAGTCCTGCAAAAAAATGGCCATACTTTCCCTTTAGTTTACTGAATTGATTACAGGAAGAGATGACCACATTGAGTGTTAAAACTTTCTTTCATTAGCTTCAGGGCAATCTAAAAGAAGCAGAGGAACAAGATAAACAGCTGACATTTGAAAAAAAGTCTCTAGAAAAAGGTGAAATTTAAAGGTTTTTCTGCCATTTATTATTGTTATCATTGTTTTGAAATAAGGCCTCTCAGACAAAAAAGGTAAAATATTTTCAACGATTAGACCTTGCTGTGCAGTTTTTATCATTGCATTTTTCTCAGTGACTATTCATTTAACCGCTTTGTTGTTTATTGGATGTTGTTATATCAATATGTGAGAGTTAAATCAAGTGTTGTTCTTATGTACACCAAACTTTTCTGAGACGTAAAATATCTTTAAATAAATACGTGGAAGCCAAAATATTTTGGAACGGAAAATTCCTTCCATAGTGAGTTTTTTAAAAATAAGCCTTCCCAAAAATAGCCTTATCAGAAAAATCTTTGCAACAAGAATAAGCAAGGATTGATTAAAGGGATTTTATGGCATGTGACTGTTTTGCTGAAGGAGTGAGATCTTTTGTTCCCTGTAGAACATGAAGTTGCCCTTGAACTGATGGAGCAAGATGCTGAGGTCGTTCGACAACATGAAAGAATGTAAGTGGCCCAGCTAATATTTACTATTATAATCCATCACATATTTTAGCTTTCACACCCTTGATTGGTCAAAGCATGTCACATGACTGGCTAAAACTGGGGATTATCCGAGAGATGTATCTGTATATTTCCCATTTTCGTTTGCAAAAGATATTTCAAAGACAAATAACACAATAGCCCCCATTTGACTTTACAAAATAATATGCTCGGATTTTTGTCCGTGGACGTAATCTTTGAAGCTCACTGTTCGCCTCTTGGAACAGATATCCAAGCATATTGTTGCACCAAATGGAGGCTATTGTTTATTCATATTCATTGAAAAATGTCACCAAATTTCCAACTAAAATGGATAAGAAGATGGTGCGCTATAAAACGTTGAAATATTTTGTGGTAAACATACAGTATGACAAGAATGGAAGTCGATTACAGTTCATCAAATTTGATTTAGGGACAGGATATCAAGAAATCAAATTTGCCATTCTGGTATTTCAGTCCTTATTTCAGTTTCACTTTTAGTTGATTTTTCTTTGCTTGCACAACTTTTGGCATTGTTTTTTCTTCTTCTTTCACTAAGGCAAGTTTATAGCAAGTTCCTGGCTGTACTTATTACAGTATATGTAAAACATGATATATCTGCCCGGACGCTGTCTCTTTTCAATTTGATATCTGTAGTTCATACAGGTGCAAATGGTATCAATTCACTTATCTTCTCTCTTTGAATGTGCAGCCTTACCAAAGCTAAACAGTCCTTACATCATCAGAACGAGCAATGCGCCAAGGTTAGATCGGAGAACATGGAGCTGGAAGAAGAGATGAACCAGCTGGAAGAAAGCCATAAGTAAGAATTCAAAGAGTGATCGATTTGTGATTTCTCATTACAATATCATTTGTTTTCAACCAGTCAGGTGATGAGAAAAAAAGAAAATCATCAACTACAGGATGGTTCTTGATGAAACAATAAATTCTCATTTTATCATATAGCAAAATGGATTGTGATCAGTAATGAGAATGTAGACATATAGTGCGATTTAGCTTACATGCTTGGCTAAGCTCATTACATGTACTGACGAAACAAAAACAACAAGGCAGACGTGACCAAGTGGTAAGGGTGCCGGACTTGAAATCCAGAGGTCAGGGGTTCAAGTCCCGATCTGACCACTAAGCTGGAGTTGTTTCTTGGTAGACCCTGGTTCAAGTCCTTGGTCAAATTTGTTAATAGCCAACTGGTCTGCCTCCCGCCAGTTGGGATTTTTAAGCCTATTATACATGTTTAGTTGACATATTTATTTCTTTCAGTTTAAGTGGCATGACTGTGAACTAGCTAGGTGTAGCTAAGCGCATTGATCACTATAAACAACAACATTTGAACATTTTGAACCTTCTGCAATGAAAACGTTTTCAATTTAATCCAGTTAAATTGTAGAAGGTCTGCTAATTCAAGAAGAACATTGGACACTGATTAAGTCTTTTTGAGAATGTAAGGATAAACCCCACGGGGGAAAGATGATTCTTTGTCAAGAGAAGATTGTTTATAGCAAGTCTGAATCAACTGACTAAAGGTCATTTACAAAATCTAAAATCAAATGTTTCCTTCTCAGAGCAACCGTGGACGTGTACAACAAAGACATCGAGACGTCTAAAACTGCATTAACTGCTGAAAGAAAAGACAGGCAAATCCTACAGACTAAAAGGGACAATGTGACAAAAGAGTCCAACGAGTTTAAGGGTGAATATGGCCGCTATATGGCAACCATGTCCAAGAAAGTCACTGAAGGAAAGGCAGAACATGCTAAACTAACGGAATATGTAAGTTGTACAGCCACTATGTTGGCTGCAATTACTCCCGGGGGGGGGGGGAACTCCCATATGAATAGGTCGGGGATGCTATTCGGAAAATTTGAATTAAACCCCTAAAGGAGACTAAGCTGGGCGTGGCTCGAGCATTATTTGACCCCTGAAAGACGCCACTAAAATTGGAATTGGCTTGATTACCAGCCGCTGTTCAAGGAAGGAGCCAGCGCTTGTAGACTTGACTCGAGAGACCGGTGAAAATAGAACTTTTCTTCAAGTGCACCCTAAAAGATACTTTGACAGCTAAAAATAGTGGCGTTTCTTCATGAACAACTTAAGCGAGACCAGAATCCTTGATTTATAGCCTAAGCGAGACGACAAGCATCCCCGACCTTTTCGTAAGGGAGTCCCTCCCCCCGGGCAATTACTTTGTATCTTAAACCCAGCGCAATGGTGTATGGCTAAAAGCTTGTACAGTTTATATGTGAGTCGCTTGGGCTTAGCTAATGTATCTTGAAGTCCTGTTTTGACATAAGAACCAGCTTGTCTGGGCCAATGTTAAGCGCGCAATACGCCGTGTCAGCAGGCCAGATTCTTACTCTCGGTATTGGACTGGAAGTCTGGAACTAGCTTGCAATGGAGGCTCATGCAGGTGAATAGCCTTAAAGGGAGATAAATGTCATTTGTATTTGAAAACACTCCCCGCATAAACACAGTTACAAGCTCGTTCCAGTTCAGTACTCGTAAGGAGTTGGTATTTTCGCCTGTTGAGTGTGAATCCGAGGAAAAGAAAGGGGCAAAATTACAGGATTCGTTTGCGGTCATTCACCTTAGAAAGGGAGAGTTTATCTGTTCTATCCATGAACAATATTAAAATACAGAGTACAGTGCTTCTATCTTTTAGGGAACGCAACTACAGAAAGACTTGAAGAAAGACGAAGCGGATATTATTAGTAAACAGAAGCAGTTAAAGAAAGCCAAGCAAGATTACACCTCTCTGCAAAAGCAGCTCAAGACACAACTGAAAGGCCTTCAAGTAAGTGGTTGTGCCCCGGGGGTTACTCCCAGAAAAATTGGGTGGGGTGTCCGTTTCCCAAAACCCTTACCCTATTTCCGACCAAAACGGCTAAAAGCATACCCTCTGGGACCGCACATACCTATAAAGCGCGTTCTAAAGCTCATATATAGGAGTACCATTGTGCGTGTGCTAGAATCTCATGCAACAAGGTGTGACTCCACGTTCTCCGATTCCACTGAGACAAAGAGAATTCAGAGAAGCGCGTGTAAAGTTTGCTTAAATACACAATCTTCGCTCGGGGGAGGGGGCGGGGTTGTAAATGCTGTTAGGAATTCGTAAAGCTTTTGAACTCGGTTTGTTTGTCTGTCTATACATGCACGTGGTCAATCTTTTCACAAGGTACTTTGTGCCTTCGACTCGCAGCTTTCGTGAAATTCTTTAGGTTGTCTGTCACTGTTGTGGAAGGTACCTACAAAATGAACATTCCTGTAGTAGTTTTATTTTCCTTGCATACAGGAAAGTATCGATAAACTGGAGAAAGATAGAGACAAGAAGAAAGATATTATTCAAGACAAAACTGTAAGTTTGCTTGTTTACGTTTGTGTCCATTTTTGTAATGTTTACAAGGCGCGGATAACACATCTTGAAAAATTACAATTTTCCATGGCATCTCTCATAATCTTTTTCAATCTTCCAGGCTTGTATCGTTTACTGTTTTTCCTTTGATGTTTTTGTTCCTTAACTAAACTACAATTTTGATTTCCAGTAGATTTGAGGATTTTTGTTCTTTGATTCGCAGCCAATCTTCAAAGATCTGGAGGCTCAGTTCAAAGAGCAAACGCAAGAGTTTGAGACGACGAAAAAGAGCATAGTGGGTAAGCAAGAAAAGTAACAGCAATTTAAATTAGTTAGAGTGGTTTTCACTTGAGTGTCAAAAGGTAATTGGTTTTGCACGTACTACGCCACGCGATTGGCTTGAAAAACTCGCGCCACTTTTTCATCCAATCAGAAGTAAGACCAAAACCAATCGTGACTCACTCGCACACGTTTTCCCGCGCTTTGCGCCAACTGCATGTAATTACTTAGAGTTTTGATTGGCTTTCTGGATTTTTTTCTGTCCTTTGTGATTGGCTAGAGCGATTACTTTGGTTTTGGTTTGACGACACTCGATTGAAAACCGCTCTTTGCCGTCTTGGTTTTGCTGTGAACAAGCCTGGTTGTCTTCTCTTGACGTTTCGTTGTCAGGTGAAGTTATTAGTACACGCGTTTACAGTATTTCCGCCTGGGCTTTCAGCATACTGCGCCTTTCTGCATACTGAAGTGCAGGTTCGCTCCGTTTGTCTCCAATACGTCGTCTGAACCTGCAGCTTTAGGCATGCATGTTGCTACGTTCAGTAATTCTGTTGGCTGTTAAACTCGTGTAGCAGCGCGCTTCTACCAATCAGAGTTTCAGTGTTTTGAACTGAGCCAATCAGGTGCAGAACCAAAGTCACTCGTAATTTGACTTCAGACCCCGCGCCTCTCGCTGGTTGAATATTTTTCGTAGATTTCAGCGGTCATACGTTTTGAGGTGCTTTTGACCAGTTGCATTTTTTTTTACTTCACGTTCTGATTGATCGATCACACTAGTTGACGCGATGGTTTCCTTGGTGATTTAAAGGAGCTCAGTCACGTTATTTTGAGTTATTTTGGCCATGTACAAAATTACCTGTAAATTGAAGGAAACTTGAAAATAGCAATTTACTAAGATAGAAAAACACCAAAGAGATAATAATAAATCATAAAGAAACAAGGACGGTTAAGGATGGATAAGATTGACACGGATTACAAACGACAAACTTGAAAAGTTTACACTAAACCTTTCAAGACACGCAAACCGTGACGTAGCTCCTTTCATATACTTGGTTTTAGTTTTACGACCATTATTGCAGAAAGAGAAGCTGATTAAGAAGGGACTTGCATGTCCCGTTTGAGTTACAGATACTACAGTACTCATGTTTATATTGCAGACCTGAAGAACAAGAAGGCGAGTCTGGAAACATCCGTTCAGAGAGCTCAGAGAGACGTAGAAAAGCTAGCAGAACCACAGGTAGCTCTTTTAGGTCCAGTCTTAAAATATCAATTTTCTTTATTTACTTTCATTGATTCTTTTTACTGTTGGGTTGTAGAATCTATACAACTTAGTGGTAAATGTTTCTGTTGACAGCTCTGATTTGTTCTGCAAATAGACTCGATTACACGGGAAGTTGCGCGAGAGACGAGTCGAGGCTTTGGATCAACTCAAGAACCAATCGGAGGACGTCAAGAAGATTGAAACAGCGATCTTCACTTCCGGTCAGCGGCTTGGTGCTGTACTCAAAGAAAATCACAGGTAAGAGAGCTAAGCCTGCTGGGACGACTTGTCTGACAGCAGCAGATCAGCTACTTTTGTGGAGGGAAAGTGTCGTAAATTGACAACGTTTGGCTTTTGGGCGGCTAACACTCAAAATGTCCGTTGCTCAGTTCCCACAACGATGTGTCAATGATGATATTGCGGAGGGAAAATATCGTTAATTGAGAATCTCTCGCTTTTGGTTGGGTTACACTCAAAATGCCCGCCGCTCAATTCCAACTACAGGGATTGACCTTGTCAGTCCAGATTGAAATTTTAAGTTACTGATCGTAATAAAATTTGTATATCAGGTGAGAAAATTGGGCGTCACATCGCGGCCATTTCCGCTGTTTATTTAAATTGAATAGAGTGACCAAATAGAAATTGTTATGGTCTACCTTTTAGTCGATCTGTTTTGGAGATGAGCATGTCGACTGGTGTTGTCCACTTTTAGGTTTTTGTTTTCCCTAATCCTTTGAGCCTGAAGTCAGCCTAAAAATTCTCCTTACAAGGTTATATACAAATATTTAGTTATGTTTGGGAAAATTTTCCTGATCAGGTAATAGAAACTAACCATCTTACGACGCTTTTCTTTTGCATGTTGTGAACAAGATTTAAGCAGGTACGTGACAAAGTAATATTTTAACCCTCGCCTAGCGCTTATTCAATCGATTGTATAATTGTCGGTTACTATTCTGAGAAGTTGAGGCTTGAACCTCGAGTGGTCTGAAATTGTTTTTACTATAAATAATAATACTGTGTACACTTTTCCAGGCCATCAGGGAACTTGAAGTCGAAATTGAGACTACAGGGAAGACAATGATTGCAAACGCTGGGACAAGAGAGGTGCTTGAAAAGCAGCTGCTGGAGTACAGGGGTAGGTTGTGGCCTTCTGTAAATAGTGGTAGCTGTAAACGTTTGAAGTTGTCCTTCAGTGGCATGTTGGGTGATTGAATAGACGATTCGCACAGTGGAATATTTTCTTTATATTCTCTGACCATCATGGCCGTAGATCGGCGAAAGCTTGAAATTCAAAGAGTAACAGTAGCTCAAGGCCCCGTTCAATCGTCTGTTTAAGTTGTGGCTGTAGTTTTGCCAGTTGATTTCATCTGTCCATTGTGAAGAGAGGAGAGAACACCCTCTTGTCCTAGTTGGCCTTATTAGTGCGTCCGTTTATAATCCATCTCGATATTTTTGACATCAGTTTAGACTATTCGTTTTATTCTCTTTGCAGGACATCTACACGAGAACTGGAAAGAGGATCTTCTCCTTGATAAAGTAAGTGTGAAAGAGAACTATATAAACAATAGCCTCAATGGTGCGAAAATATGCTCTGATATTTGTCCGCGGACATTATCTCTTCCAAGATGCAACCAGTTTTCCAAGAGCGTAGCTTGAAGAAAACTGTTAAAAATTATCCGAGCATATTTTCGCGCCAAATGGCTGCTATTGTGGTTATTATCCTTCAAATATTTTTTGCAACACGCGCAGTTTCGGATATTGGGGAATAACATATCACTCAGATATTTCCCAGACATCACGCTAATAACTCAATTATTTACATAAGACGCCGTTAAGCCTGGTTTTCATTACGACATAACCGCAAGCACAAGCACACGCTAGTGATGACGCCCGGAACATAAGCATAAGCACAAGCACAAGCAGGTTAAAAAGTGTTGTTCTACTTGTGCTTGAGCTTATGGTTATGTCAAGTGAGAACACGCTGCTGTAAGCATAAGGAAGCTAACTCCGCCATCTTGTTTTACTGTATCGAGGAGGTATGGAACCGAAAATATGGCAATTACCCATTCTGCGCACGCCTTCGTGTTAATGCTTGTGTTGTGTGCGTCCTCACTATGGTTATGTTGTGCTTGTGATTGTGTCGTAGTGAAAACCAGGCCTTAAAATTTATTAATTTAAGTGCATTGTCCTTCCATAACTTACAATAAACTAGCAGTATCTTGCACACAGCACGTTTTTTTTTATATACTTTGCGCCGATCACATCGCGTTTCACTTTTTATACACAAACAATTTACACCCTGTTTCTAGTTCAGCTTACTATAATATTACCGTAAGTGTTACTTTTTGTTTGCAACAGATATATGCTGAACGAGATTCCCTGATGTTAGAAGACATTGAAAGACTTAAGGCAGAAACTAGTGTGAGAGAAGAAAGGTACAATGAAATGAGTTTTAAAAGAATTAGCAGTGCAAATACCTCCCAAAATACATTTCCGAATTAGGTTGAACCGTTTGAGATACTTGTTGATCATTCATCTCGGTTTTGTTTGTTGGCATAATTTATTTAGAGGTTGAATTCAATGAGCTATGTCAGGGTCAGTATACATTGTAGGAAGTCTTTTTTTGCTTTGTTCGAAACTTAAATATTTCGTTCTAATCAAATGAAGGAACAAAATCCAAAATGTAATAGTTTACCATGATAGGGAAAACTCTAAAGAGGCTATGGTTACACAAACAGGAACAAGTAGTACTGTATAGTTAAGTCTGAGGAAGATTTAGACGGATCTCAATCAGTGAATTGAAAAATTTTAGGCCAAAGTTTTCAAGGAGGATCATTCCTTGACACAGTTTTTGTTGGGGGAGGTCAACTTACATTGCAATGATTCTTTTGTGTAGGATTGACGAAATTCATCAGCAACTTGAAGAACAGCTATCCGTTCTATCTCACTTTATTGATGGCGTGGCAAACTTAAGACCTAAAGGTATGCCTCTTTCGCTTGTTTTGCTTGTTACGTTTTCTACTAGTTCTACTAATTATGATCTGCTTTACTCTTGTCATGTACCCAAAGTGACCAGAGCTAGCAGAAGAAACGACATGTGGATTAGTGGGCTAAAGTGGAGCTCACTGGAATTCTTTGCACCTGGTGTAATAATTAACAATTAGATTATTCGCTCTCGATTTCTATGAGGTGATAGTTGATGAGGCCGAGGGCCTCATCAACTATCACCTCATAGAAATCGAGAGCGAATAATCTAATTGTTCTAATAGAATTCTTACTAAAATTCACCTAAAATAACAGTTTCCAATTATTCCTTGACGTATTTATTAAACTTTGCGCCTGAAAAAGATCGCTCGGATTGAATTGTCATTTAAAATTGAAGTTGTGCGCGCTCGTCAGTTTTATCGATTATTTCAACTTTTTTAAAAGTCAAATGTCCTTCGTTTAGACTTCTCAGGAATTTAATTATCC